TGCTGTGAAACAATAAAACAACCCTGCCCCTTGTTTGCCTTCCACAGAGACAAAGACCAGGGTTTTCTTTCAGGCACGACCACATTTTTCTCTGAAAATAAAGCTGCTGCAGACTTAAGGAGAAAGACAACAGCAAAGCTTTGTGTTCCTTTTATTTTTGCTCAAACCACCATGTAATTATCTGGTCTGAAAGGAAGTGACACACACACACACACACACACACACACACACACACACACACACACACACACAGCTTGTTGATGTAAATAGGGGTGGGTTGAGGGTGGTGTTGGGGGATAAATCATTTGGGTTCACTGTAATTATGGTGGAGAAACATTTAGTCATTAAACAATCAAACTTTCACATACACTGAGCTCAGCAGCTAAAAAGGGAAGGAAATTTACCCAAAAGGGGTTTCTGTTGAGTTCTATTATTTGTAATAATATATATATATTTGTTTGAAATTGTAGAAACACTCAATGAATACTAAAATATGTTCTGTTTGGACCTGAATCCTTGGACGTACAGGTGGAAGGACGCACTGAAAACATCCTACCGTTTGTTTGGAGATACTAAGAACAAACGTGAGGACATTCCTCTGAGAGTACAAACACAGATGTGTTCCTGACGTTATCTCTGTCTGCAGGGTGTCTGCAGGGTCATAAATATTTCTAACATGTCATTATCTATATATGGGGTCTAAAAAAAGCTCAAAAACATCCAGATTTATTATTTTCGCCCCTCAAATTATTTTTTATCATTCTAATATTTTGTAAATTATCTCTTGATATATTGTTTGAATTGTGGAAATTAATTTTGATTAAAGATTTGTAACTTTGCAAGAAATGCAACTATTGTTCAACCTTTACATAAGTGTTAGATTTGAATCATAATGGTCTCACGGAGGTTTTAGATTCAAACCACAGTAAAGGTTATTGCAGAGTAGCTTGCTTTGTCAACATGAACAAACCGGATTATTTTCCCACCAAACTAGCAAAATATCAGGAAGGATCTTGTAAATGGCCACCAAAGCTGTTGAGAAAGTTTTCCTAAAGCATCTGAAATGTTCCCTAAAGGTCAGATGGGAATCCATGTTTACTGTTAAGATTTGGACGCAGCATTTATATCTGGAGTCTTTGCTGCTTTTCCAATTAAGAAATCTGTTCACAATGTGATACGAGTGACCTAAAAACATGAAAAATGTGATGAGTTCACAATGAGATAGAACAATTTTGAACATTTTCTTAAATTAAACACCAAACATATACATTTTTAATGCAATTTAAAATTAAGCTATTCTAAACAACAATATAGGTGTAAGATAAAGAGATTGCTACATTCAGGACATGCTTAATGGAATGTTAACTTTATTTAAAGTGATAGTGTGTATTTTCCCTGGTGTTAGGTGGCTGTACATACCTAAATCATTGCAAGCAAGCATTAATTTTGTGTTCAAGTAAGACCTTACCAACAGATGCCCATTAGGGTAAAAAATTCCTGGGAGTGCAACCTCCAGCAAAACAACAAGAACATCAGACTCCCTTTCATCACTGGCAATGAGTGAAGAGGTAAATGTGTAAATCAACAATGTTTATTAATGACGAAAGTTTTGTAACCATTTGTTGCAAATCAGTAAATTACTTTTGTCCTCATAGGCTTCCGTAGAAGAAAACACGGCATCCAATAAGGTGTCGCCCAGAGACTTAGACCCATTCCCATGTATTTTGAAACAGATTCTTATGGTTACATGTTATGAAACCGCCAATATTTTTCAATAACTGGGCATCTTTTAATTCATTTACAACAACAGTTTGATGGATATTTCCAGAGATTAATGGTAAAAACTACACATTGTCAGTACGTTTCTCAGCGGGTAGCAGCTGAGGTATTTGAACAGACGTCGGAACAATGTCGGGCCAAGTCGAAAAAATAAAAAGCACTGGTAGGATGCGATGGTACGCATTTTCGTTTAACCCCGCCTGCCAAAAAAAAAGACCAAACTGCGATTGAAATGCTCTTCTGTAATTGTAAACCCCTACCGGCTCATACTGGCCAATGATGGCCTGCCAACTTTGATCACTGGAGCTCAATTCTCCTTTATTTGTTATTGTCATAAAATACAACAAAAATTAAGTGCCCTTTAGTCAGTACATCATCCATTACTAATAAATGTGTTAAACGTTAATAATAAAAATACTTCAGGGATCTTCTGAGGGTGTTGGGACAGAGATCACCAATGTATGATGGTGCTTGTCCATGTAAGGCCCTAAAGACCAGACCCAAGGGCTTGAACTCAACTCTGAAGTTAAACGGCAGCCAGTGAAGCTGGAGGAGAAGCGTGGTGATGCGGGTTTATTTTGACGATTTGGTCAGAAGCTGAGCACAGGAATTATGAACCACCTGTAGACGGTTCAGGGAGGTTTTGCTCAGAGAAGAGAAAATAAAGTTGCAGTAGTCTAAGCGTGAGGAGATGAAGGTGTGGATAAGATTCAAGATTGTTTTATTGTCATTGCACAAGTGTGCAACAAAACTACTTTGTGTTCACTAAAGGCAGCTCACCTAAGGAGGTAGTAAAATATAAGTAAAATAAAATATGAGGATAGGATAGGATAGGATAGGATAGGACAGGACAGGACAGGATAGAATAAGACAGGACAGGATAGGACAGGACAGGACAGGATAGAATAAGACAGGACAGGACAGGATAGAATAGACAGGACAGGACAGGATAGAATAAGACAGGACAGGACAGGATAGAATAAGACAGGACAGGACAGGACAGGATAGAATAGACAGGACAGGACAGGATAGAATAGACAGGACAGGATAGAATAAGACAGGACAGGACAGGATAGAATAAGACAGGACAGGACAGGATAGAATAGACAGGACAGGATAGGATAGGATAGGACAGGACAGGACAGGACAGGATTGAATAGACAGGACAGGACAGGATAGGATAGGACAGGACAGGACAGGATAGAATAAGACAGGACAGGACAGGACAGGACAGGATAGGGTAGGACAACAATCTCAAGTTCAGAGCGCGACAGAATGGGATGCGGCTCAGCAGTGTTCAAGAGATGAAAGAAGGAAGAGTGAACAAGAGAACTGACATGAAAATCCAGATCCAAAGAGGCCAATGTCCTTTGTGCCTTCACGGGAGATTTCCTGGATGTTCACTGATATTCTGCAGGTTTAGTGACCTTAAATGAGGAAACTTTGAGTCACTGCTTTGGGATTCCCTGGATGTTTGAAGGATTGTTGTGTGAGGTTCATCCTGAACTCTGACTGGTCCTGTGCCTGTGTTTCATAAAAAGAAAAGCCAATTCCAACAAGGTTTGGTTTCTTCCCTTTTCCCCGCCTGAGTTCGGTCGAGCTAGGCCCCTCTCCTGTGTGTTTAGGTCAGGAGTCTGACTCAGAGAAAACAACGCTCATACCACCTCATTGCATTTTTATTTTCTTCTGTTAACACAGAAAAGGATTATTGACCTTTCTGACAGTTTTGACCACTCCTGCAGTCTTCATCAGAGCTAGCTGCTAGCTACGTCACTTCCTTCTCTGTTCATCTTTGGGCAGTAGAAGACGGTGTCTCCCTCAGTTGCCTGCGCTCTCCTCACCGATGACACAGTTCCATGCGTGATCCAATATGAAGACCGCATCGTCTCTGTTTATGGTTCCATGTCCACATCTCCTTATTTCTACGGCTATATTTCTGCTTTTCTGTGTTTATGATCCTTGTGTTGTCCCAGTCCATTTGATGGTTTTCTCTTGTGCATTGGTCTGTCACGGCTGATTTCTTTAGGGCAGGAAGGGCCCTTGCTGTTTTGCACCTGGTGGGGGTTTTGACATTAATTGCCTTTATTCTACTTCTTCCGCGGACGTTGATGTGGCTCGAACGGCAGCGTGCATCCCCACAAGTTACACATCAAAACAAGTGGCTCGGCGGTGGGAGGTGTGCTAAATTATTCAATTTACCATGGCTAAATAATTACCAAAGAATATCAAAAACATTTTGAGCAGACTGAACTATCCTTTAGTGTGTAGCATGTTTTATATTTGCATAAAAACTGTCTTGTGCCAGGTGGCAGGTCCCCTTTTAACATTTCTACAGGAATTTTCTAGTATTTATTGTCCTCTGGTGAAATGTGATGCACTCAAAAAAAGTGCACATAAACATATTAGATGATCCATTTAAACACCCTGATCTGCTACTTATTTCTTATTTCCTGACTGTTTAGCTGTTATTTGGAGAAAGTTACCAATTTGGTTCTTTGTTTGCATTTACAAAGAGGAAATGAATAATCCCAAATTTTAAAAAGCAAGTAAATGTGGTTTTCTTTGGAGGACTCTAACTTTTTAACTGGCATGGGGGTGATATATGCACTGAACTTGGCTGATAACACTAAAGCATTTTTACAGATAATAAAAAAACAGGTTTACCATTACATCCCATTACTGTCTGTTTCATTATTAATATTATTTATTTCACGTAATTATTCATTTGTATTGCTTAATCTTCACTTTCACGAATTAATTTTAAATACTAAAAAGGAAATGTTTACTTTGTTGTTGTTTTTTTTTTCATTGGTGTGGAGTTGGAGAGTTCATTTATTTGAGATTGTGGCTTACAATTAAGCGTAAAGTAAGATTAGTGTACATTAACAAGGTAATAATTAAATAGTTTTCCATGTTTATGTTTTTTAAATACATTTTATTTTACAAGCTTTCTTATTGTATCCTTTACTTTCAGAGCAAGCATCACTGAGATAAAACAAATTAAAAAGTGTTTTACTGAATGATTTAAATAATAACTGAAATAATTATATTTCTTCAATTTTGTCAATCTGTTCTCATGTGTGCAGTACAGTTTTATCAGCTTTTTAAAGGTTTGGATTTCTTGTTAAAAAGAATCATGTATTTAATTAAATCTTTTATAATTTTTCTTCATACAAACACTGAACATGCATCCTAATACCCATTAATAACAACAACAACAACAACAACAACAATCCACACACCAGATCTATAGTTTAGTAGCCCTTGTGTAAAAAGTTACTTTCACTTTCTGCAGCGGTTCAACAGCGACACTCTGTGGCTAAAAGGTGAAGCAACAAAAATAGTGTGCTGATGGTCTCACAGTGACGATGTCATCAAAGAATGTTTATAATTGATTACAATCAAATATAAACATCATTTGATTAATTAGTTAATTCATTCATTCATTTATCAATTTTATTTATTTATCAAAAGTAATTAATTAACTAATTCACTTTTGATGAATACATATAATTTGATATATTAATTCATTTATCAAATGATGGTTACAATCGAATTATAATCAGTTGCAACCAACAAACTAATTGTAATCATCCTTTGATGACATCATCTCTGAGCATCCTTTGATGACATCATCTCTGAGCACCCTTTGATAACATCATCACTACTGTAACACTACTAGGTCACACGCAGACACATCACATCTACTGTGAACACCAACAGGGGAGGTCTTGATAAACCACTCTCAGCGTCTGACGACATGCTTTCCCGTTTGTTTAAAAATAAGTACCAACATTGGTCTAAGGAATCCCTTTTAGAAGAACTGCAAAAGTTTAGCGATGAAAACACTGAACTGAAGAGAGACATTGTTTATGCCAAAGTCAAGCTGCAGGAAAATATTGCAACTGCAGTGACAGCTGAAACGTCGGCCTTAAACACAAAATTATCAGATGTAAATAGAGAATTTGATCGGCATTTGGCAAACGCATCAGAACTAACCAAAAGATACAGCAGGCTTGAAGATGATTACAGAGACATTAGCGATAAATGTAGAAGAGCTGAAAAGAAACTCAACGAATTCAAATCCACCCATGAAGCCAATGAGAGTTTGAAGTTGGAAAATTGCCGTTTAAAATATAAAATTTCAGAGCTTAATCGGTACACTGAAAGACTTGAACAACAAAAACAGGATTTGGACAGTAAAGTGCAGAATCTCACCGATGATTTAAAAGAGAAGCGAAGACAAGTGGAGGAATTAGAGTCATCTTTTCAAATAGAAAAGTCGAACTACCACAAGGCAATGACTGAGGAGAAACTAAGACAGAATGAAACTAAATTTCACCATTTACAGGTTAAAGTGAGAGATCTTGAAAATGATTTGATGATATATAAGAAACAGACAGCTGAAAAGGAGGAAACAATACAAGTTTTGACTGAGAAAAACCTGGATCTGACAGAGAAAAATAACTTTCACAACGATTATTGTGCAAGTAAAATGAAACTCATCCAGACACAGAAAGACGATGAGATGGTCAATCTGAAGTCCACGTTGACAAGCTGTCAGAAAAAACATCAGAATCTTCTCAAGGAAACAGAGACATATAAAGAACTCATAACACGCCTCAAAGCCAATTGGTCAAATGCTCAAGCAGAAATTCAGCGATTAGAGATTGAACTCAAGCAACTCAGAAACACCACTTCAGTGCAGATGAACCAAAAGAACGAGGAGGCAAATCAGCTTAAAACGAAATGTTCCACATTGCTTCACCAGATCCAGCAAGTTAAAGAGAACTTAGAGCACTCAGAAAACGAATTCTTGTTTGCTCGAAATGAAAGCAGAGAAACCAAAAACAAAATGAAAAATATGGAGAAACAGAATAAGGATTTAGCCCGTAAACTCGAGGTTAAGGAGCGGCGACCTACATTGCAAAGAGAACAGCTACAAGAGGCGAAACTCACAGTAAAAGACACTAAAAAGTGTGAAGTACATGAAATTAGAATTGGGGAATCAGAAAATAAACGCACAAAGAGAAACTTGAAGCTTTATGCGAAAAATCCTGACCAAACAACGCATCATTCCGTCGACCGCCTTCCATCTATTCATGAAAACAGCTCAAATAAAAAACCTGTCCCAAGATACCCTGGACCCTATAAGGTCCTTCCACCTATTAACAGCAGTGAGTCAGGTCCAGTAGACTTCCCCTTCCCACGACCGCCTAAATTGAAGAAGAAAAAGGGCATGCTTATGGTCAATTTATAATCATTCAACATAGAAACAAGTCATGAGACTGATGTAAATGTTTCACCCCCACAAATTATATATCAGAACGCCCGGCTCGACCGTGGAAAGTGTGTTATTTCTTTTCTAAGTGATCGGATTTACCGTAGGGAAGTTATTTGCAATAAATACATCGTAACATCTTTCATTTTGAGTGTATGCCACTCTTAACTTTCATAACTATTCAATTCAATATGTACATTAATTAATTAGATGGCAGGCCAGCATAGAGGCATTTTTACGTGAGCATATTGTGCCAGCAGGCAGGTCCCTTTTTTAATTTCTTCAGGGATTTTTAGGTTTTATTTTGTTAGCTTTTATCACAGAGACACAGCTCTAAGTTATGGCTGGAGACGGGGTTCTTGCCCTCCAGCTAGTGTGGACGCCACTATAGGTGGGACACACCGTTTAGTACAAAAGGAAAAAGGAAAATAATTAGGAAATCAACTTTAAGTAGACCTGTGAAGTTAAGGACGATGAACCGCTTTTAGTCTGACCCTTTTCCTAAGTCTGGTTTGTCGTGGGGGCTTTCCTGGGACGAAGCCTCCAGACAACAGGATCACCACGATACGGTGGCGATTCAGTAGACGGGGTTTTATTTCATATAAATTTATTCAAGAATATAAATGTATACAAACATATAAAAATATATACTAAAGTATAAATACTATTTTACAAACATGTCAGTACATTATAATGTATAACTAGAAAAATTGCATTTATTGCACAAATGCTGTTTGAATGCTGGATAGCTGAAACTGTAAGCTGAAGCTGCTGAACAGCTGAGCTGAAGCTGCTGAACAGCTTAACTGAAGCTGAAACAAAGCAAAACTGTCAAAATGAGCTGAATGTCTTGAAAGATGTAGAAGCAAAAAGCACCAACAAGCAAATAAAGCACAAAAAGTAAGTGAAGAATAGAGAAAAATAATGCTAAATAGCAAGAAAAAAAAACTTTAATCTGTGAACATTGTATAAAAATCTGGACAGCTTAAATGTCTAAACACCTGTTATATCAGTTGGACAAGTTTAACAGTTTAATCTTTACATTTAGCTGAACTGTGAAATTAGCAGTATATGCTAAATTTGCTAACTGATTGCTGAAGTTGTTGAATAGCTGAAGTAAGCTGAAACTAAGCTAAACTGTTAAATGAGCTGAATGTAGTGAAAGATGTGAAAGCAAAAAGCACAAAGAAGCAAAAAAGCACAAAAAGTAAGTGAAGAATCAAGAAAACTAATCCTAAATAGCAGAAAACTCAAATCTGTGAACACTGTTTAAAAAAATTGGACAGCTAAAATGTGTAAACACCTGTTATTTCAGTAGGACTAGTTTAACAGTTTAATTTTTACATTTAGCTGAACTGTGAAATTAGCAGTATATGCTAAATTTGGTAACTGATTGCTGAAGTTGTTGAATAGCTGAAGTAAGCTGAAACTAAGCTAAACTGTTAAATGAGCTGAATGTAGTGAAATATGTGAAAGCAAAAAGCACAAAGAAGCAAAAAAGCACAAAAAGTAAGTGAAGAATCAAGAAAACTAATTCTAAATAGCAGAAAACTCAAATCTGTGAACACTGTCTAAAAAAATTGGACAGGTAAAATGTCTAAACACCTGTTATTTTAGTAGGACTAGTTCAACGGTTTAATTTTTACATTTAGCTGAACTGTGAAATTAGCATCAAATGCTGAATTCAGAAACTAATTGCTGAAGCTGAAACTAAGCAAAACTGTTAAAATGAGCTGAATGTTTTGAAAGATTTAGAAGCAAAAAGCACCAAAATGTAAATAAAGCACAAAAAGTGAAGACCGGACAAATCAATCCTTAACAGCAGAAAACTGAAATCTGAACATTATTTAAAAATCTGGACAGCAAAAAGGTCTAAACACTTGTTGTTTGAGTAGGACTAGTTTAACAGTTTAATTTTTAGTTGAACTGTGAAATGAGTAGCATAAGCCGAATTCAGAAACGGATTGCTGAAGTTGTTGAATAGTTGAAGTAAGCTGAAACTAAGCTAAACTGTTAAATGAGCTGAACGTAGTGAAAGATGTGAAAGCAAAAAGCACAAAGAAGCAAAAAAAAGCACAAAAAGTAAGTGAAGAATCAAAAAAACTAATTCTAAATAGCAGAAAACTCAAATCTGTGAACACTGTCTAAAAGAATTGGACAGGTAAAATGTCTAAACACCTGTTATTGTAGTAGGACTAGTTCAACAGTTTAATTTTTACATTTAGCTGAACTGTGAAATTAGCATCAAATGCTGAATTCAGAAACTATTTGCTGAAGCTGAAACTAAGCAAAACTGTTAAAATGAGCTGAATGTTTTGAAAGATTTAGAAGCAAAAAGCACCAAAATGTAAATAAAGCACAAATAGTGAAGACCGGACAAATCAATCCTAAACAGCAGAAAACTGAAATCTGAACATTATTTAAAAATTTGGACAGCAAAAAGGTCTAAACACTTGTTGTTTGAGTAGGACTAGTTTAATTTTTAGTTGAACTGTGAAATGTGTAGCATAAGCCGAATTCAGAAACGGATTGCTGAAGTTGTTGAATAGCTGAAGTAAGCTGAAACTAAGCTAAACTGTTAAATGAGCTGAACGTAGTGAAAGATGTGAAAGCAAAAAGCACAAAGAAGCAAAAAAAAAGCACAAAAAGTAAGTGAAGAATCAAAAAAACTAATTCTAAATAGCAGAAAACTCAAATCTGTGAACACTGTCTAAAAGAATTGGACAGGTAAAATGTCTAAACACCTGTTATTTTAGTAGGACTAGTTCAACAGTTTAATTTTTACATTTAGCTGAACTGTGAAATTAGCATCATATGCTGAATTCAGAAACTAATTGCTGAAGCTGAAACTAAGCAAAACTGTTAAAATGAGCTGAATGTTTTGAAAGATTTAGAAGCAAAAAGCACCAAAATGTAAATAAAGCACAAAAAGTGAAGACCGGACAAATCAATCCTAAACAGCAGAAAACTGAAATCTGAACATTATTTAAAAATCTGGAGGCAAAAAGGTGTAAACACTTGTTGTTTGAGTAGGACTAGTTTAACAGTTTAATTTTTAGTTGAACTGTGAAATGAGTAGCATAAGCCGAATTCAGAAACGGATTGCTGAAGTTGTTGAATAGCTGAAGTAAGCTGAAACTAAGCTAAACTGTTAAATGAGCTGAACGTAGTGAAAGATGTGAAAGCAAAAAGCACAAAGAAGCAAAAAAAAGCACAAAAAGTAAGTGAAGAATCAAAAAAACTAATTCTAAATAGCAGAAAACTCAAATCTGTGAACACTGTCTAAAAGAATTGGACAGGTAAAATGTCTAAACACCTGTTATTTTAGTAGGACTAGTTCAACAGTTTAATTTTTACATTTAGCTGAACTGTGAAATTAGCATCATATGCTGAATTCAGAAACTAATTGCTGAAGCTGAAACTAAGCAAAACTGTTAAAATGAGCTGAATGTTTTGAAAGATTTAGAAGCAAAAAGCACCAAAATGTAAATAAAGCACAAAAAGTGAAGACCGGACAAATCAATCCTAAACTGCAGAAAACTGAAATCTGAACATTATTTAAAAATCTGGAAGCAAAAAGGTGTAAACACTTGTTGTTTGAGTAGGACTAGTTTAACAGTTTAATTTTTTGTTGAACTGTGAAATGAGTAGCATAAGCCGAATTCAGAAACGGATTGCTGAAGTTGTTGAATAGCTGAAGTAAGCTGAAACTAAGCTAAACTGTTAAATGAGCTGAACGTAGTGAAAGATGTGAAAGCAAAAAGCACAAAGAAGCAAAAAAAAGCACAAAAAGTAAGTGAAGAATCAAAAAAACTAATTCTAAATAGCAGAAAACTCAAATCTGTGAACACTGTCTAAAAGAATTGGACAGGTAAAATGTCTAAACACCTGTTATTGTAGTAGGACTAGTTCAACAGTTTAATTTTTACATTTAGCTGAACTGTGAAATTAGCATCAAATGCTGAATTCAGAAACTATTTGCTGAAGCTGAAACTAAGCAAAACTGTTAAAATGAGCTGAATGTTTTGAAAGATTTAGAAGCAAAAAGCACCAAAATGTAAATAAAGCACAAAAAGTGAAGACCGGACAAATCAATCCTTAACAGCAGAAAACTGAAATCTGAACATTATTTAAAAATCTGGACAGCAAAAAGGTCTAAACACTTGTTGTTTGAGTAGGACTAGTTTAACAGTTTCATTTTTAGTTGAACTGTGAAATGAGTAGCATAAGCCGAATTCAGAAACGGATTGCTGAAGTTGTTGAATAGCTGAAGTAAGCTGAAACTAAGCTAAACTGTTAAATGAGCTGAATGTAGTGAAAGATGTGAAAGCAAAAAGCACAAAGAAGCAAAAAAGCACAAAAAGTAAGTGAAGAATCAAGAAAACTAATTCTAAATAGCAGAAAACTCAAATCTGTGAACACTGTCTAAAAAAATTGGACAGGTAAAATGTCTAAACACCTGTTATTTTAGTAGGACTAGTTCAACAGTTTAATTTTTACATTTAGCTGAACTGTGAAATTAGCATCAAATGCTGAATTCAGAAACTAATTGCTGAAGCTGAAACTAAGCAAAACTGTTAAAATGAGCTGAATGTTTTGAAAGATTTAGAAGCAAAAAGCACCAAAATGTAAATAAAGCACAAAAAGTGAAGACCGGACAAATCAATCCTAAACAGCAGAAAACTGAAATCTGAACATTATTTAAAAATCTGGACAGCAAAAAGGTCTAAACACTTGTTGTTTGAGTAGGACTAGTTTAACAGTTTAATTTTTATATTTAGTTGAACTGTGAAATGAGTAGCATAAGCCGAATTCAGAAACGGATTTCTGAAGTTGTTGAATAGCTGAAGTAAGCTGAAACTAAGCTAAACTGTTAAATGAGCTGAACGCAGTGAAAGATGTGAAAGCAAAAAGCACAAAGAAGCAAAAAAAAAAAAGCACAAAAAGTAAGTGAAGAATCAAGAAAACTAATCCTAAATAGCAGAAAACAAATCTGTGAAAACTGTTTAAAAAATTGGACAGCTAAAATGTCTAAACACCTGTTATTTCAGTAGGACTAGTTTAACAGTTTAATTTTTACATTTAGCTGAACTGTGAAATAAGCATCATATGCTGAATTCAGAAACTAATTGCTGAAGCTTAAACTAAGCAAAACTGTTCAAATGAGCTGACTAGCGTTAAAATGTCAGCTATGCTGCTACTTTAGTTTTAAGTGTATGGGGTTGGTTGGTTGGTTGGATGGATGGTTGGATGGTTGGTTGGTTGGATGGAATGATGGATGGATGGATGGATGGT